AGGAAGTGTGTCACTAGGGGTGGACCTTGAGGTTTCAAAAGCCCATGCCACACACACATTCATAGTGTGTGTGTGTGTGTGTGTGTGTGTGTGTGTGTGTGTGTGTGTGTGTGTGTGTGTGTGCCTGCAGATCAGGATGTAGCTCTCAGCTACCGCTCCAACACCATGCTCCCCACCATGATGATAATGGTCTAAGCCTCTGAAACTCAGCAAGCCCCCACTTAAATGCTTTCTTTTATAAGAGTTGCCTTGGTCATGGTGCCTCTCCACAGAAATAGAACAGTGACTAAGACAGTGTCACTTCTCAGAATGGACTGTGGAAGTCACTCCATATTACACAAAGAGCTAGGACACACTCTGGGCAGGCCAGAAGCTACTGGCTGCTGGCAAGGTGTGCTGACCCATCGTACAGGCCACTGGGAAGCAATGCAAAGCACCATGAGAGGCAGACTACCCAGTGTTTCTTCCAAGCCTGATAGGACTTGGCTCCTCTTCCCCTTCCCCTTCAGGTTTTGGGCACAGAAGTTTAGGGCAGGTTGGTGGTGTCAATGTTTGGATGCCTTTAACGTCTGCAGCCCTCTGGCTCTGCCAGGGATGGTACCCAAAGAGCCAGGGGGACAGGGCCAGGAGGCTGCTGACATCTAATGTCAGGTCCATCCTAGCCTCTGCCTGCAGCTGGAGATCAGCCAGGCCTCTGTAACCACATGGGGCCGGAGTCCTGCCAAGGGCACAAAATGGTTTTGGTTCCTGGGAGAAATTTTGTCTTCAGGGAAACTGCATAAAAGTCGGACCCAACCTGCACTAGCAGCATTCCAGAACCTTCCATGGTCTTAAAAGATGGCCACCAGGTTCAGCCTCATTGCAACCTGTATTGGTTCCCCACTTTGCCTGTGCAGACTGACTTCCAGGTAGGATCAGGACAAGGAAGCAGGAGGCCGTGGCCTTGGACCTGGGGACTGAGGCTTCAATCACAGGGCATCTAAGCCAGAGATATGGAGGGTGGTAGCCTGGGCCTGGAGTAGATGCTCACAACTTTCAAAAGGAGCTGCCTGAGATAGAGCCCCACCAATGGGAGTTGGGGTCCAGCCAGGGCAGGTCCACCCCAGAGTGGTTCAGGTAAAGACATTTATACCCCAGGAACTGAGGAGTCACCGTGAACAGTGATCTCCCCAGGATCAGATGGTGGGGGAAACATCACCTCACTCAGGATAGAGGCTCTTAGGAAGAAGGGTGAGGCCCATGCTGCCTGCCGTCTGGGGGCTGGGGTGGGAAGGAGTCCCACCTCCCTCCTCTCATCTCCCAGCAAGCCTCCCATCTGCTTCCCCTCTGCAGAGAGGGAGACAGTGCTGGCTGTGGCCAGGGAAGAGGCTCCCAAGGTGCCCAGGATGGAGCTCAGGGTAGCCGGGGATAGCCACCAGGAAGTGGCAGGGTGTGGCTCTTCCTCGGCATTCCCTGTATCAACCCTGAGTCAGTCCCTTGAGTTGTACTCGGGGCCATAGGGCTTCCCAGCAGGCCAAGGTGAAGGTTGACATGTCTCTCCTGTGCCAGCAGGTGGGTTGCTGTGTCCATTCAGCGGGGACCCAAAGCCATGGGTGCTAGGTGCAGAGCCAGACCAAGTCCATGTCACCATCAGGTGTGTGGTGACCTTAGCTGTGCTCTCACTGTGTCTTTGTGTTCAGAAATGCAGGGTTGAAAAACTGATGGGATGTTTAAGGCAAAGCCGTGCTGACCATCCACCCACGGGGGAGACATGTTCTCAAGATCCTCAGTGAAGGGGATTCTGGTTTCCTGAGAGCAGTGTCCCAGCTAAGGAAGGGATAGGGCACCTTTGCTCCGAGGTTCAGGGTGTGCAGGGCACAGGGTGGCAGAGCCTTCCCGGACTAGGCCGCTGCTTCAGTGTGAGGAGATGGAACACACAGCAGACCCTCAGTTACCTCATGTGAAGTGGGAAGCCCTGGGCCACACCAAGAAGACTGTTGGTCTCAGTGATGACAGAAAGCAGCCACAGGACTCCATGCTCCACAAGGGACAAGCCCCCAGGCTGTTTTGACAAAGGCAAGTTCCCTGAGCGTAGCCTCTCTGGAAACATGGCGAGGTGGTTTCTCTGGGGCTAGGTATAGGGGAGAAGCTTCGGCAGCTTTCATTCTTCCCGTTCAAGTGCCTAGAATCTTCCATGCATCTCAGGTGTGTCCTCGCTCCAGCCCAAAAGCCCCTCAAAAGTGAACCTGCCCCCCTCCTCCCTCCCTCCCTCCCTCCCTCCCTAAGAAGCCTCAGGCAGACAGGCCTCCTTCACTCTTCATGAAGCATGTGCTCTGCGCTCCCCAAGGCTGGCTTTAGCCCCCAGTCACTGTTCGTACCCCATGAGGAAAGTTTGAGGACACCACACTCAGCTCAGGAAGTGAGCACACGGAGGAGCGTGACCTGGTCACTATCATCCCTCAGCAGTCAGGGCTGGGATGGCTCTGCTGTTTTTAGAGAACCCCATACTGTGTTCCAGAAAAAACAAGAGCTTTCGCATGTGGGCCCTGCTGTTCCCACCCTGGTCACAGCACACATCTTACAGCATTGCCGCAGGGCAGTGCTCTAAGCTGTGATGACGAAACGGTTCCCTGGATCCCCCACCCCCTGGCTTTGCTGCTGCTTTATCCAGATGTGATGAGGCCTGGATGCAGAGGCCCTAAGCAGCTTGGCCAGCGTCCCACAGCTTGCAAGTGGTAGAGCAGGGATTTGAACTGAGGTAGCCTAGCTGCCCAGCCACAGCCCCCCACACCTCTGAGTACCGAACGCCCTTCTGATGAGCTAATAAAGTGCCCGAGGGGTACAGAGAGGGAGAACCAGGGAGAGGCTATTAACAACTCCTACAGTGAACAGAAACATCGCCAGGCCTTCTGAGGCCCAAGAAAGCAGAAATAGATTGCAAAAAAAAAAAAAAAAAAATGAGGAAGAAACCGACGGCTGGGCCTCCCCGCCAGGGTCTCTTTCTGCTTTCTAAGTGCGGGCGGGCGGGCGGAGTAGTCACCAGCTGCAGCCTTGGCTGTCCCAGACTGCCGTGTCCCCAGGATGCAGCTCCTCGGGGACCCTCACCAGACTCCCTACCAGTTCCTCTCTCCGTCTTGAGGGGCGGACTCCCCCAGTCCCACCGTCTCCCTGCCTTGCCAGCTGAGCACCCGCGCTTCGGAGCTCCGAATGAGCCATTTCGGCTCGGGGGCCAGATGCATTTTTATATCTGCCTGGGAAAAAATGGCAGGGGTTCTGCTGGCAGTCGGAAGAGGCTTCTAAATTAAACTTAAAAAAAAAAAAGTGTTGGGGGTTGGGGGGGCGGGCTGCACCTGGCCCTTCTCAAGACTGCAGAGAACAAAGCGTGGAGACCTTCCCTCTCTCCGTGAGCCCACGCGACTCTTCAATGCCTCCTCTTCCACCCCACCCCACCCCACCTGCCCCCAAGCCCTCCCGTCCTTCCAGATTCTGTTTGTCTTGAGTGGCCACTGGGTGCCGCCTTCACAGCTTGCTCTAAGTCCTGTAGCCTTTTCAAGATGGGGCACGTGACCCCACTAGGGCAGTGACTAGCCCAGGGCCGTGGCCTTATTTCCCACACCCTGAAGCTTAAGACGACCCAAGCGGACTCCCTGGCAGTTCCAGGGCCCAACACCCAGACAGTGTGGGCTGAAGTGTGACTGGCGCCTCCCTCCCATTTGCTGACCGCAGCTGGTGGTGCTTGTGTTGGGTGGTTGTTTGGTAGACTCGCCTCCTCAGGCCCTGTCTCCGTCTCCACGTGGTGCTGTGCCTGAGCCTGACACTAGTCCACCTCACTCCAGTGTGACCTGGTTCTTCCAACCACTCTTTTCCAGCACAGTCACCTCCCAAGGTGCCCAAGGCCAGGCCCCAATGCATCTTCTAGGGGACACATTCCAACCACAGCGGTCACGTCACGGGCAAGGGGCAGTGGCTGGCTCCGGGCCTCGCTGTACTGGTTACTGGGTGCTGTAGGCGTCGGCACAAGGAGAGGGGCAGACTCACGGCTCTTCTTCTGCCCCTGTGTCACCGTCCTCCCGCTGCGAGCCAGGGTGCTCTCCATCCCCTCCCCCCCCCCCCCCCACCCCCGGGAGCCCTGAGAGCATCCTCTACACCTTAGGGCTCTGTGGAGAGAAGACAGCTGCAAGGGGAATCTGTCTGCGAGCACAGGAGATGGGTACACGTGCTGTGGACCCCACACTGAATCTCGCGTATCCTCCAGGGTCCCAGATCTGGGTGTATTCACGCTTCCACTTCAGGATGCTGAGCCCGGAGGGTTCGCTTAACCTGCCTAAGCTCTTTAAAAAAAGGAAGCCCAGAGTCTGCCTTGCTCCAGACATGAACACTCTAGAGTCGAAAGACGTCTTGGCCACTTGGTCTTGTGTTAGTGGTCTCTGTGAGCTGGGAGAAGAGTCGGGGGACCTGAGGAGTGACAGCCCAGGTGTATGTTTCTCTTGAGATGGTGGTGGAATGTTCTGGAATCCATATGCTGATGGCTGCATATGCATACACGGACCGTGGATGGATTGTATCTCAGTTTAGTGTTTAAGGGAGGAGGGGAGGGGTGCAGGGAGCTAGGCAGAGCAAGGAGGAAGAGCCTGTTCGAGGCCTGTGCTGCTGAACTGGGCCCGGGAGCCCGTGGTGGACAAGGGACCAGTAAGGAGACGGCAGAAGCAGACAGGACGGATTCAGACAAGAGACGGGGGATAGGGCAGAGGGCCAGCAGCAGAAAGGGGCCTCTAGTAGCCCTGAGGGACTGTCCTCTGACGTTGGGGTCACCCTCCACAGATAAGATGGCACATGGGGAACAGGTGACCCACCTGTGTTGACTGCTCAGTAGCTCTTCCCCCCGAAACATAACTTAGTAATTAAGTAGGTGGGCCCCCCCAGCACCCCGACGCCTTGGCAGACACCCCTGGTCACGGGGGAGGAGGGAGGCCGTGTGCAGCGTCCACATCTCACATGCTGCTCTTTCTTGCCCCCTCCAGAAAGCCTTCAATGCGCTCTGCCACAGCACCCACTTGTACGGCCGCAGGCTGGTCCTGGAATGGGCAGACTCGGAGGTGACGGTCCAGGCCCTGCGGAGGAAGACAGCCAGGCACTTCCAAGGTAGGAGTGGCCTGGCGCTCGCCTGGCCGACTGGGGGCTTCTGGCATTGTGAGCCGGGGCAGGGGCTGCCTGCGGAGCCGCCCTCGCTTGGGTCCAGCCCCCCCCCCCCCCCCCCCCGAGGCCTCTTGTCACCAACCCGCCTTGTATCAGCACGGCCACCTTGTCGCCTTGCGTGCGGGTAGGGCGGTGGGGGCCAGGCAAGCAAGAAGGGCAAGGCAGTTGTCACCTGGGTCCCTACTGTGGTCCTCAATCCAGGTTCCAAAAGTGCTCCCTCGAGCCCAGGGGTGCCGGCAATGGGTCCTGGAGGCTGGCCCTAGGAACCACAGGGTCACCAGGGTCACCAGCTTCCCATATGCCTTTCTTCAGGGTTGTCCTCTTCCTGCCTGAGCTCAGTGCTCACAGAGCTGACTCACCAAGGTGACACTCTATGGCCTTAAAGACTATAGAGCTGATGACCAGGAACTCCTGAGCCCGGCTGCCCTCATGCTTGGGTCACCAGAGTGACGAAGCAGGGCCATGGGCACAGGTGAAGGGGCTGGCCACTTCCCTTGGTGGGCAGCCCAGGCTGAAGGTCCCCAAAGGTGAGAAACAGGAGGCCCCATTGTACTTGATGCTAAGGGACAAAGCCGGGGGACCCAGGGGGAGCTAGAGTCTGTGGGGCTGGAGTCAGTGGGCCTCATCTCTAATAGGTGTGCACCCCTCACTAGGATGTCAAGGCTTGAACTTAAAGCCCACCTTCCTTGACAGTACCCTCACGGTGGTCCTCAGGAAGTGGAGCGAGGCAGCTACCATTGTCTGCTGGCTTTAGGTCCATTGGTTTCGTGAGTCTCTCAGCTGGGAACAGGTCCCCTCCTCCCTCTTGCCGGCAAAGCCGGTTCTGGGTCAGGCTGGGACATGCCTGTCTGCAGTAACCCTGATGCTGTGGTCAAGAGGCAGGCAGTTTCTTCCTACCTGGTCATCCTAGCGTCAGGGCCCTCAGGGATCCTCGTAGCTAGTGGGGCTCAGAGACCACTGTTGTCCCTGAAGTGTTTGCTGTGAGCTCTGGGTCTACGGGGCTGGGGTCAGGAGCCATCTGTCCCTGCTCCTTGCCAGGGACGGTGGGAGGACCAGAAGGGGACGTTGTCCTGGGGGATTATGAGCAGTCCAGCAAGATTGTCCCTGGCCAGTGTGTTAAAAACCGCAGAGGCAGCTTGGGGCCACTGGCCAAAGCCTTGGAGCACAGACCCTGGTCCTCCATTGGTCTTCTACCTAGAGCCACGCCACCTTTCTACAGCTGTGGTTCTCAACCTTCCTAATGCTGTGACCCTTTAATGCTGTGGTGACTGCCACCCAACCATAAAATTATTTTCATGGCTACTTTACAACTGTAATTTTGCCACTGTTATGAAATGTAATGCAAATATCTGATTTGCAGGATATCTGATATGTGACCCCCATGAAAGGGTCATCCGACCTTCTAAAGGGGCTGCGACCTACAGGTTGAGAGCCTCTGTCCTACAGAGTTGGTTGGTTGTCCCCCAGCTCAAGGCGGGGCCTCGTGTGCTCACACATGCTGTTCCCTATTAACACAGCACCTTTCTCTCTGCTTTTGTTTGTGCTGTGAGTGGTATGGAGAGCCATTCCCCTCCCTGCCCTGCCCTCTGGGTATCAGGCGTCAGTCATCGCCTGTCTTCTGCTCCTCTGTGCCTCTGCCCCTGTACGCTCTTGGTTTTTTACCGTCTTACATTCTGGTCAGGCCGCCGCCGCCGCCGCTGCCGTCACCACTGCCGCTGCCCCCCACCCACCCACGGCAACTGTGGTGTGCTGTGTGCTTGTATCTGGACTGGTCGGTTCCTATCTGGTGCCCCTGTTTAGTTCAGCTCTGAGGGGTGCCAGGCTTTCCATCCAGGGCTGGGAGCGTTCCAGCCCAAGCAAATGCAGAGCCGGAGAAACGGGAGATTGCGTACTCAGTGGCGGGCTCACAACTCAATAAGATCCCAAGTCCTGATGGGCAGACAAAACCTGTCTGCATCGACAGGCATCGACAGGCCCAAATGCACCCGTCGGCAAATGTTTGTGGAAGGCACTCTCCCGGGACCGAGGCGGGCCCGCCTCCCCTGTGGTCACCCCACCACCCAGCCCAGGCCTGGGAGAGTGCAGACTCAGCACTTGTGCTTTGCACGGATAGAAGCCCCTTCGATAAATTGAGCTCTGAAGCCAGCAGCCTCTCCTCCCAGGTGAGAGGATGCAGCAGAAGGCAGGCCTTGCTGTGGACAGGCGTCTCCATGGCGGCCCACAGCCGCTAGGCCCCAGTAGGCAGGCGTAGCAATGAAACTGATAAAGATACCTCTCCGGCAGATCCGAGGTGGCCATAAGGACCGCCTCAGGCATGACTGTGACTCCCATCAGGCCTTGCCCTGCAGGCCCTGGGGCAGGTGCAAGGCTGCAGATGTGCAGATGCCCTGGAAACAGTGTGCGGTCCACTTTCCACCTCGTCCTGCACGTGTGTGCAGCAGCCAGAGACCTCCGAACAGGGCTGTGGGCCTCAGAGCCTGCCCGGGCCTCCTTTTTCCCCTGCCCTTTTCCCTGCCGTGAAAAGTACTGGCTCATTTGTGTCGGAGTCCACATTGTTCTGAGCATCCAGGGTCCAGGCCGGAGCTGGGCACGAGTCCCACTTGCCCTTGGGCTCTGCCAGGAAGGCACTCAGACCTCAGGTGGAGGCCTTGAAGTGCTGGCCACCACAAAGGCTCCCTGAGGGCTGCAGACCATGCCATCAGAGGCGGGGCCCAGCCACAAGCTCGCCGGCGACACCATGGCCTGAGCCGTTCTCAGGGCTAGCGATGGGTAGCCAGAGCCGCTGCACCGGCGTTTTGGCACTGGCCAGTACAGGCAGCGGGAGTCTCCCTGCCCTTGGGTTATGCCTTGCCCACAGCCCCGCCGCTGTCATGGGAGGGATGGTGGAGACACGCGGTCCTGGGTGGAGGAGACCGCTGAGCTGTAGCTCAGGCTTCCTGACACAGCCCCCACCACTGTACCACTCTTCTCCTGCCGGGCCTTGCCGGGAACCAGACGTGGCTACCGGCTGCCTTGTTCTTAATCCTGTAGGACTCGGATGTCGATACTGTCATTGACCCATTTAGCAGATCAGGAAACTGAGGCTCAGAGAGGGCAAGTAGCGTATTCATGGTCACCCAGCTACCTGTAGCATAGCTAGAACTCACACCTGACTTTCCAGCCACTCTCCCGACCAAGCCTTTGCATCGGCTGATCCGGCTGGCACCCTTATGTCGACTCAGTGTGTGTGTGCGTGTCCTGCTATCCACTCTGTGGCCCCTGGTGAGTCTCAGCCTCAGCTTTGCCATCTGTACAGTGGGCACAAGGTGCCAGCACCTGGGGGGGGCCTGTGGCTCCAGGGAGCTGACACATGGCTTGGTCTTGCCACTCTCCCAGGCCCAGGCTAGCGCACTGAGGAGGACGTGACTGGGTAGAGAAGAGGGAGAGCCTAGTGCTCCTGAGTCCCCGGCCAGGGCGCAGTGCCTGGCACACACACGGAAGGAGGGGCCCAGGCGCCACCCACCACGGGCTCCCACTGACTGGTGTCCAAAGGAGGTTTGCTTTAACCCCCCCCCATCCGTCCCATGGGACACTCCTCGTGCTCCTCTGTCCCTGGGTGACGGCCGGGCACTACAGTGCCCCTTGCTAACTGGTGCTTGGGAGGCACCTGGCAAGCTAACAACACAGGCCGGGCCTCTGGACCTGGCTGGGAGGAGTCACCCTGAGGGAGGTGCCGTGCGGGGAGGGGGGCCACTGTCCTCCCCTTGGTTCCCTACTGATTTCCCCTCTCCTGTCCTCTCGCACTCTACACACACACACACACACACATACACACATACACACACACACATACATACATACACACACAAAGACACACTCACACATACACACACACATAGAGAGACACACATATAGACACATACACACATACACACACTCACAAATACACACACATATAGACACACACTCACACACACTCACACTCACACACACACACATACACACATACACACACACACATACACACATACACACACAAAGACACACTCACACATACACACACACATAGAGAGACACACATATAGACACACACATACACACATATACACACACACTCACAAATACACACACATATAGACACACACACACTCACACTCACACACACACACACACACACACACACACACACACACACACACACTCCTGGACTATCCCAATCTGCTCCTCTCCCCGCTCCCACCCCCCCAGCTCCTGTCCTCCCCCTGCTCTCTGCCTCCCAACCCCTCCCTGGTCAGGAGTCAGATCTCCGATCCTCAGCCCCGGGCCCTGTGGTAGGTGAAGTGTTATTCTTCTCTGCCTGGCATGCGGGATGTGAAAAGAGGGCACAAGAGGGGACGAAAGAAGAAAGCCTGCCCCTGGCTGTGTCCTTTCTTCCTGAGCATGTTAGAAACCAGCAGGGTTGCGGCATCGCGAAGCTTTCAGGGCTTGGCAGGCCATGGTCACCACGAGCACAGGCGACAGAATAAAATGGCCTGGAAGCCATCCGCCGCCCAGCCCCGGCTTAAGCGCTCACAGCCAGGGAGGCCTGGCACATGGGCTTTTATTTGGCCGGGAGCACGGCTCGGCTTCCCTCTGTTGTCTTATTCCAGCTGGGGAGGCTTTGATGGGCTGTGGTTAGCGGCTGCAACTCTCACCTCCAGAGCAGGCACGCAGGCATGAGCGGCATGGCAAGTGGCTGGCGGTGGCGCATTCTCTCCACTCGCCCCCACCCCTGCCTTATCCCCTGCCCACTGGGCCCGGCGGCGCTGGCCAGCGCAGAATGCAGATAGGAAGTGCGCGCTCGCAACAAGAGCCCCTGGGCACAGATGGGGATAGACCTGTCCCGCCAGCCACTAGCCTGGCTCTCTGAGCCAGCCTCCTCCGTCACAGGGCAGGGGCAGAGCCCCCAGACCCCCATCCCATCAGCC